GATCCTGGCATCTCTGTCAATTTGAAATTCCACAACACTTTTTTTTTTTCTACTAGTTACAGTTGTGTTTCTCAAATGGATGTAAATACCTCTTGGACTGTTTCAGACAGTTCCTACATTTTACTAGCAATAAAACTAGTTCCTAATTTTAAGGATCCTGCTCAGTGAGGAAAAAGAAATATTCCCCTATTTGTAGAGTTCTAGGTGACTTTCAGATGCACCTTTTGTTCAGAAACATGCTTCCTTACAGCTTTTATGTTTTTCTCTGAGACCAAATCCTGTCTCAGGATGGCCATGGTAAACCCTGCTCCTTGGTGTGTCTGTGCCCAGATAAGTAGACACCCATCTCAAGACCCACTATGGAGTCTTCAGTCGTTCCTCTTCAGGGGAGAAGTACAAGAGAATCTGGCTCCATTGTTGCTTGTGTGGTGTTTCGTTGCCTCTCTCCAATGTTATAGTCATTTTGCTGGTGCTATACTTCAGGAAGTGGTTGGTCCAATGAAAACTACCCCAAATGAAACTAGTGTTAGTAAGAGTGAAGGGCTCATTATCCCAGAGGGAGAGTGAGAAGGGGGAAGGAAAGCTGGGATAGGGAAGAACTTTTATATAGGTCATTTTAGGTTCTCTCAAGCTTGAGTATGCTAAATGAGTGAGGTTTTATAAATGAACCAATCGGAATGGCCAGGCACAGGGTACAGGCAACACTTTTATCCCACGGGAGGAAGATGGGAGGAGGGGTGAATGAGCAAGAAGATAAAAGCTGAAACACAGCTATGCTGTCCTTCTGAGTCATTCGTGTGGACTGGCTGGTAAGGCTTTCTGCTCCGAACATACAGAAGTGGGGTCATGATTCTAACAATGGATGCTGGTAAGTTGTGTTAAGCGTACCTTTCCCTGAATAAGAACATGTTTCTGTGAAAGGAACAAACCTAGCAGCTGTTTTAAAATTTTTTTAAGTAATTCAGTTTTGTGTACCAGGCTTCCTAAGCTGTAGAATTCGGTCTTGTATGAGTGTAATGCTATAATTATTCCTTAACTGTTGGTATGTATCCTCTTTGGAAATCTGAGTCCCTGATACCTCTGTGAGTGCCTCCATTAATATGAGCTGTTCTGGCTTCATTAAAGGGACAGTCAATGAGATGGTCACAGCCAGCCCCTAGGGCCTTGGGAGACCAATTCTTATTTCAAGACCAGCAGAGATGAGTACCTATGAAAGATGTAGAATAAACCATCTGCATGTTACACTAAGAAAGAAACATAAGGTAGCAGACAAACCATGAAGTCAAGACATTACTTGTAGCTCCTCAGTTCCTCAGCTTTCTGCAGATGCTTTGTCCTGTGTTGCTGGGAGGGGGAAGAAGGTGCTCACTGCACTCTAAAATGCTCCGAATCTGCTCCTGTGTTTCAGCTTGTCTGAAAATGGGCTCTTGCAGGAATACTTTTTTTCCCCTTTTTTGAGTTCTTGAGCAGGGCTCCACCAATAGAAATTTTTGAGGCTGATACAGATAGCTGATTTTTAAGGAGACATATCAGCTGCTACTGAGCTGATTTCTGATACAGCATGGAAAGTTGGTGCAGCTAGTAAATCTCTTGTGGTGGGAGGGGGGAGGGAAAGATCAAGACCCACAGGATGAGGGAGTGGGGCTGGGGCAGGGCAGGGAGTGGGACGGAGCAACGGCTCGTCGGAGGGGAGAGGGGCAATTCCCACTGCTGCGCGCACCCCATGAGGGCATGGGGGGAGTGCGTGTGCTCCCCAGATCGGGCAGGCTGTCGCTGTGGGCTGGGCCTGGGACTGTGCCAGGCTCTTCCTGGTTGGGGCTGGGCCAGGTTGCACTCGGGGCGGGCAGTGGCATTGGGTGGGGGCCCACGGGGCGGGGGGAGAGGGCAGGCTGCAAACATCCCAAACTTTGCTGTAGTGCCCTCCTCAACCCCCTCTCCCAGCGCTGCCACCCATCTGCCCTGAGCGCAGCCTGATCCAGCCCCCACTGGGAAGAGCCCAGTGTAGCCCCAGTCTGTAACTGCAGCCCGCCCTGCTCCACCCTGCGCAGATCTGGGGGGACCATGCCCCCCTTGCCCTCCCAGAATGCATGCAGCAGCAGGAGCCACCTCCCCTTTGCACCCATCGGATGAGCTGCGTCTGGGCAGCACCAGCCCCAGTCCCACTCCCTCCTTCATGGCGGGGGCCTTGATCTGCTCCTTCCCTCACCCTTCCCTGTCCACCACAACAGACTTACCAGCTGCACACAGCTCTCCATGTTGCCAGTCTGTGCTCCTCGCCGCCTATGTGCTGCGCTGCAGCTGCGCACATGCATGGGTCGTTTATTGGCCACGTTATCGGCTACATCATGTCTATTTCCGATGCAGTCAATTTTCTTTATATTGGTGCCTATCCGATATCAGACCTCTATTCCTGAGTTTGAGAGCAGCCTTTAAAATCCCAGCCACCTGGGTGGTAATAATAAACTGTTTGGCTGTATAATGAAATGAGTTGAGCCCAATCCCATTCCTTGTGGAAGGGAATGTTTCTGTGTTACAACTGGCATCCTTAAAATTCTTCAGTAAAGAAGGCCAGGGTTTATCTGGGTAGGCATAGGCAGCAGAAGACCAGGACTAATGGGGCTTATCCTCCCCTGCCCTCCTCAAACTAATTTCCCAGCAGCCGGTGACAGTGCCACTGCCATACCCCGCTGTTGCAGCAGCATGCCCAGCACCCACTCTGCACACCACCACCGCAGCACCAGTGTGCACCAGCCCCCTCAAGGCCCTGCGGTCAAGTGGGTGCACCCTGCACCACCTAGCCCCTCCCCCAAGTAATATTTTTCTCCCTCTGCTTATGTGGGTAAGGGCAGGGCAGAGAACACCAGTGCTTCTGCTGTACCCGTGGGTACAACCCCGATTTATTGCTTTCAGTTAATTGAACACATCTCGCTGTATTTTAAAGCATGTAAAAAAAAAAATGAAAGAGAATCTGAAAGAATTATTGCAGTTACTCTTTATGCTGTCCCAGGACAGGAGCTTACTTGGGGAGCGAGGGAAGAAGGGAGCCTTGTAAGAGTAATGTTTTACTTTTGAACGTGGTGCTCAAATTGATGCACACATTAGGACAAATCTTACTCGGGACACTTTTTGTATGCGTGGGCAGGGGCGGGTCCAGGATTTTGCAAAGGGCATACAGGAGCAGCAACTAGTATTGCAAGGATGGTAGTACCTCCTGCTCCAGCCTTCATCAGCTCTGGAGCTTCCCCTGCCCTCCAGGACAGCAGGGAATGCAGCAGCAGGTCATGAAGGCACAAAAGGGTAGAAGAGGAATAGGGGAGGGGATGTGCCTCTGAGCACAGAGATGAAAGGGGGTGGGAATTTTTACCTGCTTTGGGGACTTAAAAAAATTCCCAGGGGCTTCTGCTGCAGCACAGTCTGGTCTGAAAGCGGGGTATGGTCACCACTGTACCACCTCTGGATCTGCTCCTGCATGCAGTGCAGACACTTTTCCACCTTCTAATGGAAAGTTGACTCTCCCTGGTATTGTGCAGCTGGTTTTATTTGCATTAACATTTTCTGGGGCTTGAGAGGGTAAACTTGTCTCTTGTTTTCTGCCCCAGTAGTGCAGCTTTCCTTCTTAAGCAACTCTGAAGGGATTGCAAACTGTTGTTTAAGCCATCAACATAAAATCAAAACTTGCCTAAGTGGTCACGACCAGAAGTAGAGACTTTAAGCTATGCTAATGGTTTTAGAGAAGTTGGAAATCAGGTCCTTGCACCAATGAGGTTTCTATTCAAAAGTGATGGAATGCAGCATGTACAAAGAGTTTGAGGTGTACTTGGTTTTCCTTCAGGCTTTTGGCATTTTCAGCCTTCTGTGTTGTTTTGCTCACTATCTCCTCTTCAGTACAGTTGCATCCAAAGGTTCCAGTCAAACTCAAGGCTTTTGTGCAAACGCACACAGTACTTGTGCCCCATTTACAGATGGGAAAACTGATGCTCAGTTTTAAGGGTGGACATGAGAGAGAGTAGTAGGGAAGCAGTTTCATTTAGTTTTTAAAATGTTGCGTCTAATCTTGTACTTTCATTTAAAAATATTTTTAGCCAGTGTGTCTTTTTACACCATAAAAAACCTATAAGTTTATCATGGTACTTTTTTTAGTTTGTGTCCAATGAAATCTTAACTCTTATATTTTCTATCCGGACAGTGTCACTAGTTCTATTGTCCCACTCCCAGAGATACGGCAGTCATACAGCTGATATTTTTAGAAAGTTACGTTGCCTTGTATTGGTAATAAACAAAAATAGCCAGCAGGTTCCAAAATGTCCAAGTTCTTAAATGGTAGTCGTTTGCACTATTGTGGGGAAAACATTTCTAAATACTTGAAAGGAAATGGCATACTCTAATCATGATAACATGCAGTTCTGTGACTTCCTGCAGGGATAATATTAAACTTGTAATATTAAACACAAGTGTTTTTGTTTTTTAAAACAATATGGGAAAATATCTAGGCAGTTTAATACTTGTATGACAACTGCATGAGTTTAGTCTCATCTCTTGCACCTACCTCATTGTCCCTCTGTTTACTTATTTCAAATAATATTTTTGGTTTAGAAGTCTGGGTCTGTATCTTGTCTTGGATGTCATTTTGTTAAATTTTTTCTTAACTACGAAAATTCTACTTTTTTTTGTTCCTTTAAAGAATGCCTTTCATGCAAGTGAAATCCTTTCGGTAATCCTTTTGGTAATCCTTCCTGTTCCATCCTATTCCTCTTCTATATCCCTTTTTTGCCTCTCAGTCTTCTGTAGTTTCTAATTTCTTGTAAGGGTGAGACTGGGGAGAGAGGAGGCTGCGAAATGAAAGGAGCAAGACAAGAGTTGACGGTATAATTGGACTTGAAGCGGCTATAGGCTGGGACGGTTGCAACAGCTGATCTGATCCTTCTGAGTTTCCAGAGCTATTTATGGTAGATTAGCTATATCAAAGCTCAACTGTTCAGCCCATAAAAGGTTGGCCCTATGTGAAATTGCCACACTGCTTTTGGCTTAGTCCTCTGAGGTTGGGGAGCCTATAGTTTTATGGGGATAAATCCAATGATGGATGGAAATGCTAAAAGCAGATCGAGGAACTACATTGTTGAGGACTTCAGATGGCTGAGAACTTTCAAAAGACTATTTTTGCTAACAGTTTTTAGCTTAAGCGCTTTGGAAGCAGCTCTTGGAATATAGCTTTGCATATCTACTGCATTTGGTGTGCACATGCCATTGGAAAGCACCATTCTAAATTTATCCGACTTATCTGAATCATCTTGACTGCAGATGTACTTGCCAACCTTGCATGCTGATATTTGGTAACTTGTGTGATGTGTCACTTTTGTTTTCTTAGCACCTGAATGATAGCCTTTTTGGAAAGAGATTTTAGAGAATAGAGAAACTTCTCCGGAACAGTATTTTGGAAATCTAACCTACTGATTTCAACTCTTTTTAAGCCAGTAGTTCTTAGTACCTGTTTTATGAAGATACCTCTTTCCTTTTCTTCTGCATAAGGAGACTTTTTTACCAGATTTTGAAGTAAGTAACACACAATTCTAAGAATTTGAACATAAAAATTTGAGCAGTAGTTGTCTGAATATCTGAGGCTTTGTCAGGTTGAAATGAATGGGTTTATTCCAACCTGTGCATGCCAGTCACTTAGCCTTCCTTGAGGCTTGTTGCCTTTTTATTCTTTTGGCTTTGTTTTAAAGGATGAGTTTGTTCTATGGTGAATGGAAAGTCTTGCTGAATGGCTTGGGTGGGAAGTGTGATGCTTCTTTATTTTTAGTGTGTGTTTAATTTGTAACCTTGGTATTATAACCTAAGACTAGGAATTTTGTATAAACAAGGTATTTCAGGGATATCTCCCTCCTCTCCTTGCACCCCACCCGTCTTCCTGAAGCAGTTGGGTCTAAAGTAGCTATATAATTCATGATTACAGAATATTTGACAGCACTCCTTTTTCCTCTGTAGATACCCATTTGGAATTTCATCAGCATACATATATCCAGACTCCAATTTCCTTTCTCTTCGTGTCCTAGTATAGTGTCCAAAAAGCTTTAGCAGCAAAGACACCCTGAGAGAGCTGCTTTTGCTATCATTGCACGCTATTGTAGGGCATCAGCTGTTGAATGTATGGGGCTTGTTCTTTCCTTAAAGGATACCCTCTGGTGTTTTAGCTTAATAAATTGAAAAACACTAACAAAACCTCTCTGTGAAGGAAATATTATCCCGATTTTAAAGATGGGGAAATGGAGTGCCCTGCATTTTTGCCTTGTGAGCTAGGGATCATGAGTTGTTTTTCAGTCCTGTCCTTGGAGTGTAACCTTTCCTTCAAATAGCTCTAGAAATGTTTTTGTTCCCTTAGTACTCGATATTCCTTTTATGAGCTCAAATTCTGTTCATCCACTTTGCTGTACTGCATCAAGTGAATCCAGATCTAACTTTTTTTTCTATGTTTGAAACATGTAATGTTAAAATGGTTTAATGAGTGGAGGGAGAGAATTTTTTAGAGAAAAGTTCAGTTTCTGTACCTTGTGCTAACTTAACAGGGTTTTCATACATTTTAATACCTACTTAAAACCTACTTGCATAAACTAATTTTGTTCCATTTATTTTGTGCAAGGGTGGGTGCTTCCCATTAGAAAATGTGGCAGTTCCAACCCCCCCCCCCTCCCCCCAGTCGAAACAAACAAATCACGGGATCCCACAATGATTGTTTGCTGTGTTGGGTTTTTCTCAAATGCACACATGTTCTCCGCAGCTTTATTAGCTTTATTACAATTTGGTAATCCCTTTTGCATAGTCTAGAATGAGTGGATTCCTCATCAGATATAACATTGAGGTTTTAATCGCAGAAACCCTTGCTGCTTTGCCCAACTCTATTGCTTGTTGGCTGGCTTTAAGAAACAGCTGGCAAATCTTTGACTGTATTAACATACCCCTGCTGTGCACTTGTATACCTTCATTAAAAAGTAAAAAAGTTTTTGGATTTTTTTATGCTTAGCTTCTGAATGTGCGCCTAAAATTTGCTGCTGAGTGACTCCAAAGAGGGAAAGGAGGGTTTTGAAGAGAAAAATGGAGACTGACTAACCTTTCTGTCCTACAAATCAAGCATTAGAAAGGTTTATAGCACCTTTTTAAACATCCAGAGCTCTAGTGAGATTTAGGTACTAGTACAGATTCAGGGGTGAACCTGTCTTCTGCAGAAGGATTGTGCTAGAATCCTCAACTCTGGATGCAAGCCCTAGCACACTGAAGGTGTAGGTGACCGTTTTGGAAAGCATTTTGATTGATGAAAAATATTGTCATTGGCTCTTTCCCATGCAACAGATACTGAAAGTACTAGGAATTGGCAAATTCCTTTGCCTGCTGTCTGTGGGAGATTAGGTTACAGCCAACTCGTTAAGTATTACTACTTCTACCTTTCAAAGGAGCAGTTTTGTCTTCATCAGAGTTGCATTGCATAGGAATATCTTGGACTTAGGAGCCTTATCCAGGGAATACTAGAGCTGTGTACTGGATACATTTTTTGTGTGTGTCAAACTCCTAACTCTGGTTTGTTGGAGAAAAGAGACTTAGCTTTAAGCTGTTAAAATGTCCAAACTGAAGTTATTTTATCTTCATTCCCATATACAGAAAGACTCAAGTCTAAACTTGATGCATCTGAAGCCTCTAGGATCTTCTCCAGGAGAAGTGGGAACTTTCTTTTTTTATTGCAAAAGCAACATGGACCCAATCTGTAATGAGATGAGCTAAATGGTGGCTTATACTAAAAGGCAGTTGTGACATGAGAGCATTAAAAGAGCCTTTTGCTAAGATGACAGCTTTATTTTTGTATGTGAAGAGTCTGTGTACATTGCACACGATGGACTATATGTTGTAATAATAGGTATCACTGAAGATTAGGAGCTGAAGTTGCTTCCCTTTTTATGTTGTATGTTGCATGGATATAGGTAGACATAACAATCATATTAATATCAAAGGATACTATTTATGGCACAACTTGTATCTGCCTGATTCCGTATTTGTTCAGTTGATGTGCATTTCTGGCTGAAACATTTTTTGTCTATATCCTATGAGCGTTTGTATAATGGCTTTAGTACATTTACCTATGCACAGAGCTGACCTCATTAAGTTGTCAAGTTCAGTTTTTATATAAAGAGAATTTTGCCACCTTATTTTTTTCCTTGTGAAATGGGTCCATTGCTTCTGTTAACCAAAATAAATGTAAGAACCAATGGTGTAGTATAATTTCTGCATGTATTAAATTTCCATTGTCTCAAAATATTTCTCCTCATTTATGAGCTTGTCAGCTAATGACAGTTGTGAACAGCAGGGTTGTTTTTAGCTTTGGAACAGTCAGTGCATCAGGATGCTTGAGATGAATGGCATTTTATCCAAACTACTGCTATTTCTCCTTTGCTTCTGTTACCCACTTGGCATATATTCCTCTTCAAGGAAGCAGCCAAGAAGATTCTCTCCCTGTATTAATACAATATATGTTACTTCTTCCACTCATAATTTAGAGAACTGACACATCTGGAGGTCTCTGCTTTTGGTGAGTGGAGCACATTCCAGTTGGATTCTGCCTTCAGCAGATAAGAATGCATTGGATAACTAGTGATACAAAAACTTTTGTCATTTAATTGCATGGTATTTGTGTTCAGTGGAGTCTTTCAGAGGAGAAAACAGGACAAGTCTACATTTTAAGCCTTTACTGATTGTTCCATTAATAAAATCCAAACCAGACTTTTTTGATGTGATATAACAATTCCATATTTTTTTAAGCTAAAACAAAGACTTCATTTTCAAATTGAAAGCATCCTACTTGTAAATCTTCCCTTTTAGCAGTGCATCTATTTAGTTTCCAGCTTTTCAAAGTTTCTCCTGCAAGAATGCAGCAAAACATGTTTTATGTAACAATAGTCCTGGACCCTAAAAGCATCATGTGTTGCGAGTATTCTTACTAGCCCAGATATTTCGGAGTGGGGGGGAGAACAGGACTTATGAATCTATTTTGCAGCTAGTGTGCAGTGCACAAACTATTTAACATATAACTGTACCCGCCGCCGCTTGACCAGGAGATCACGTGCCGCTTTCGCCCGGGCCCCAGATCTCGCCCACCCGGGCTTTGCTGATGCGCCCCGAAGTTTACCCCGATTGGTATCAAGGGGGACCCCAAAACTCGCCTGCCACGACTTTGATGACATCTTCAGTGGGGGGTCTTCCCTTGGGGTATCCCTCGGTGCTGACGCGTTCCTCCGCGGGCAATCTCGGGGCTCCGTCCTCCCCTATACCCCGGCTATTCGCCACCTTAGGGTCTTCCTATTCTCTCCTCTACTCTGTCCTCACCTTGCCTCCCTCTTGCCTCCAACCTCTGGCTGTCAACAGCGGTCCTTGGGCCAGGCGTACCTCCAGCAGAGCTGCCGACTTGGCCCCTCCCTCTCCGGGTGGCCGCTGGCCTCTTTGCTGCCCCTACCGGTGACGCCGCGGTTACCCTCACCGTCGGCTCCGCGGGACGGGGGCCCGCCAGCCCCTTCCTGGGTACTGCTGCCGGCCCTGCCCCTGGCTCCGCTGCCGGCTTCCCCACCGGCCGTGCCCCACCTGACGGAGCTGGCTCTTCCCTTCCACGTGCTGCTCCCAGCTGCGCTGCTGCACCGCTCGCAGCCGTCCTTGTCAGTTTCCTCCTCCGTCCCGCCCTCGGCGGGTGGCGGCTGCTTCCCCGCCTGCTGGGGCTCCGCACTCCAGCTCTCTCCTCTCAGCCACCCCATTGTCTCGGCGGGGCCGCCTTTTGTCTCCCGGCCGGCGTGCCCCGCCCCCGCCGCTCAGCCACAGCCGGATAAATGCCCGGCTGATGGCCCATGCCGGCGTGTGGACTCCTTTTGGCTCCTCCGGCCCTGCGGGAGGTAAGCGGGACCCTTTGCCGCCACGGGGGTCTCCCGGCGTCCCCGCTCCCCTGGGACAATAACATATGACTAATGAGGTGCTCATTTAATGCTTTCTTGCAGATGAACTCAGTTCAGTGTCTCTAGTAGGTTATGGAATAGAGAAAATCCCACACAATTTACTGATTCATTTTGATGCACTGGCTGGAGGAGTAGTTAGCTACTTGCACGATTTCACAATGATTACACATTTAATTCATATAACACAATTTTATTTTAAAATTCTTTGCTACACATATAATACTGCTTAGCTTTAAGAAATAATCCTCCAAATGCACTTCCTTCGCAAACAATGCTATAAGAATTAGTATTACAAAAACAGCTACAATTACAACTAAAAGTTAAATTTGAATCAATACTATCATTTTCATAATATACTTACAATCCTAGAATTCCAAGAAGCCAAACACCTAAATATGGTTTCATTCCTCAGTAGTACAATTTAATGGGTTGGCCTCAGTAGTACGGTTCAATGGGCTCGCCTCAGCAATATGATTCAATGGGCTGGCCTCAATACTGATAGGACTAAGTCCCCTTCCTTCAGTCCCTTTCGGGTGCTCTGCAGCTTCAGCGTGAACTAAGAGATTCGTG